GGGTACAAGTATCTTTTTCAATCAGTGTTTTTGTGTCTTTTGGGTAGATACCTAGGAGTGGGATTGCTGGGTCATAGGGAAGCTCCATGTTTAGATAATGCTGCAATTTTACTCAGGCGGACATGAATGAAAACTTTTGGATTTGAAAATTAAATTAAAAAATGAGAGTAAAACTATATACCTTAAATGAGGATCCTCTCACTGGCTTTCCTCTGACGCTGCATTAAGCAGAGAGGTCGGCCATGTGCTTAGTCTCCTCCTGATGCCCATCCCGGAGTGCATGGAGGTCCAAAGCCTCAGATAACCCAGTGTTGAACCCTAATGAACTTGAAGATCTTACAGAAGTTTTCTCAGCCCAGGCGTCAAAAGCCTCTGGGGATGTTTTTAAAAACACGAGATTGCAGGTATTATAGAACTGATCTGTTTTAACCCAGCTGTCAGTGACCTTGACAGGTCCACCAGGTATACCCGTTTGCCAGATGATAAGTATAAGTATGAAGTGAACAAGTCTGGGCATATATTGTCAGTTATGGGGCCCACAAAGTACAAGTACTTTGTCTTTTCCTTCCTTTCCTTAGAAACAGATGAACAGCCAATGTTTAACTGAAAGCCTCATGTCTGTTGAGTGTATAAATTTTTTCTTATTTTCCCTAGTCATATACCAATAAATTACATTAATTTTCCAATTAGAAAAACAAAAGATAGCTGTATTTCAGAACTAAATATAGTCAGAGGTCATTATTTTGATTTCTGTCTTAGGAGTTTTTTAACACACCTATACTGACATATATTCTTCCATACGCTATGAATAGAAGAAGTGGGATTATTTTCAAGTTTTTTTTTAAGACTGGCAAATACATTTTGTGGTTGGTGATGTCATGGAGTTATCACTTGATAAATATGATGGAGCCGCTCAAAGTCAGAGCATGGAAAATGACTGAAATGTAGTACTTGTGCGTGCAAGGAAAGCAGGCCACGGAATCTGACGCACAGACCATGTGACAACAGAGCGTGAAGATGCATCAAGTGCTCAAAAGCCCGAGGCTGGGAGACGGCATTTCAGGAAGGCAGGGTTTTGCGTCCACATCTGTCAGCAGTGCAGCTCTACCTATGTGCAATTAGGCCCAAAGCAAACAAGCACCATACAATCCTGTCCGTTACTACACATCCCGGACTCACCTCTGCAGCCACAGCTCTTTGAAGACTCTCTTCATAATTCTCTTTCCCTTTCTTTATAGAGCCTTCTATTTTCAATTTCTCATTTGTAAATGTATTACTGCAAAATTAAAGAAAAAGTTTCCTGAAAAAAGCTTAACATTTGGGATTACAGAAGCATAAGGATAGTTTGGAAATCATGTCACAAAAAAATTTATATAATGACAGTATCTTCTTACCTAGTATTTGACTATATAATATACACTCTCATGTGCTCCTTGAACTTAGTAAATGAGCAAAGGATGATGGGAAATTAAAGTTGTTCAAGGGGAATGCTGAAAACGGGCTCGCCATTCTGAAGAGGGTAGTCCACCTCACCCTGTAAACGATCACGGCTGAGGTAAATGTTGCAGAACACCCGCTCCCGTGGAGCCAGAGGTCTGTTTGGGCACACACAACAGAGCATGACCCAAGGGAAAAGTGACCTGCACAGAGCTGCCCACAGCCGCGTCTATACCAGCTAACAAGGTGGCTGGGACCAGGATGCAAATGGAAAGATAGACGAAACAATGAATGAGATAAGAATACAATTATTCACTACTAAATATAGTTTATCTGTATGTAAAAATGTTATTTCTATTAATAAAAGGTAAAAGAAAAAAACTTCTAAGTTAATAATTCTTTAATGAAGGGGACAAAGACTTAACCAACAAAAATTTCAAGATTTTAAAAATCTTGAAATATAAGCAGGAACAGCTTAAAGTAAAAATACTTAAAGGATAAAGTTACTTATGGGGTAAGATAAAAACAGAAATAAAAGAAAATAAACACATAATTCTTTAAAAGCAACAAGCAATACATTTAGAAGTCTAGTGTGCTTGTGCCTCTCATATGAAAAGTTTAATAAAAATAAATATAAGCTTAACTTGCCTGATTTCAAGAGACTGATCCAGAAGTAATTCATGTTCCTCATCCTGTTCATCACTTTTCTGGGGATACCTATAAAAGGGTAACCACCAAATTTTAATTAATTTTCAAGATTTTTTTTTTAAAGATTTATTTGTGCTTACAGAACTGGGGTACAGGCCAGAGGCT